GAGAACTCTATCATATCATGGTTGCTAAGCCCAAGATGGCCTCTGACCACGACATCTCCCACAAGCCCTTCTCTGTAAACAGCAGGTCAAGCGAGGCACCTCCCCTGGTAGGCTCGCTTACTAGCTGCATCAGAAAGTTATCGTCCACACACTCTAGGAACCTCCGAGACTGTTGCCTCTCTACTGTGTTGTATTTCCAGCAGATGTCTGGCAAGTTGCAGTCCCTGACAAGAACAAGGGCTGGTGATTGCGAGACTTCTGCCAGCTGCTTATAGAACGCCTCATCTACCTCTACATCCTGGTTGGGTGGTCTATAGCAGACTCCCAACAGGACATCTGCCTTGTTGGCCTTCCCCCTCATCCTTACCCATAAGCACTTGACCTTATCATCACCACTGTTGAGCTCTATACAGTCAAAGCACTCCCTAACATACAGAGCCACCCCACCGCCTCTCCTTCCTTGCCTATCCCTTCTGAAGAGCTTATAGCCATCCAGTGCAGCACTCCAGTCATGAGAGTCGTCCCACCACATTTCTGTGATGGCGACTATGTTATAGCTATCGTGCTGCACAAGGGCTTCCAGGTCCTCCTGTTTGTTGCCCATGCTATGTGCATAGGTGTACATGCACTTGAGCTGGGCTATCGATTTCGCCCCCAACGTTGCCATGCTGCTCCTGGGCTCCTCACTAGCGGGCCTGTTTATATCCCCTTCCCCCTTCAAACCTAGTTTAAAGCCGTCTCAATGAGTCCTGCCAACTCATGGGTGAGAATCCTTTTCCTCTTTGGAGACAGCTGATCTCCATCAGCCTCCAGCAGGCCTGGTGCTGTGTAAACCTCCCCATGATTGGAAAAACCAGAATTCCACTGGCTGCACCAGCCTCTGAGCTACCTGTTAATCAGGTGAGTTTTCCCATTCCTTTCAGCATTCTTCCCTGAATCAGACAGTATGGTTCCAAACATGTATTAAACATGCATATACTTACTGACCTAGATTTTTCTCATTGCCACCCCTACCTCCCATTGTATGTGCATTTTCTTGTCTGGTCAAATGACCATCACAGTTTTGAGAATATTGTATTGTACAGCCAGACTGGAGGAACGATGACCGAGAAGTTAGGATCTCTAATGTGTTTTGAAAGCAAGGAATATTTGTATTAAAATCTGGTGCAAAGCCTTTTTCTGTGAGTCAGAAGATAGAGGGACAGAGTATTAGGCATTTGAGGTACCCCAGTGGCAAAAGCAAGATGTTTGTCAAAGAAGTCAGATGTCCAAATGGCTAGGTAACATCAAGAAAACTTGTCATTTCAGAATTTTTGAGTTGGGTATCTAAAGTTTTTTCATAGTTTCCTCTCTACCTGGCCCAGTGGAACAGTGAGGCATCAAAAAATAAGCCCAGTTTGGATCAATAAACCCTACTAGAAGAAGGGACTGCAGTGGCATGTGCACTTTTTTAATGTTAAGATAAAAATTGTATTCGGAAACCTATATAAAGAATAAGATGAAAAAATAAAAAATTAAGCATAGCAAGAAGACATTACATCATGTCAGTAAGCCTGTTCTATACTTACATAGATCACTTCTAGCTTACCAGGGAAAATAAACTTGGATATTTTCTTTCTGTCTAGTACTGACATAACGCTCTGTTTTTTTTCGTCTTTCACACTAACATTGTTTTACAGATGTCATTGGTCTGTCTGTATGATGGGATTACTGAAGCCAGAACTTAACCAAAATATACCTGCTTAATTATACCTACTGTGTATATGAATTTTGAAAAGTTCCTTTTTTTCTGGAGTATTTTCTTAACAGTGCTTATCATAGAGCACAGACCATATTCCTTCCACCACATATGAAAAACTTGCTTTAAAGGAGTGATGGGATTAATCTATCAGATGTACTGAGTTCTTTGTCTCAAAATTAGTCATTATATAAAGAAGCTCAGGTTCTAGCTGTGCTCCCCTAGTTGCATCCAGTTCAACATATTTTTTGTCAACACCATGCTTAACGTGGCTTCTTTTTTTTTTTTTTTTCTTTCTCCCCCCTAGAATCTTTTACGGAAGTTGATGCAGATTTCCATGCTAGAATACCAGTGGTGGTGTGCAGAGAAAAGCAAAGGTCTCGGTTGTCACTTTGTGTGTTCTAATAGTATATAGCAATGTAAATTATATGTACCAACATCTGAAAAATGACGTTTCTGTACTAAATTATTACAGTTCCATGGATCTTGAAACACAAACTAACACTCATGGGCAAGTCATTCCTAGCCTAGAATAAGAGGGTAAGGGTTGTTCTGTCCTCAGCTGTGTATTTCCCAATCCCTTCAACCATTACGGCTTCCAGCATGTACCCTTACCCTTCCATTTGGGATAACTGCTTAAGCAGAAACTTTCCTTCTGTATAGGTAATGTAAATACCATATTAAATTATGGATTTCTGCAAGGGCAAGATCAGCTTGCTTAGCCTCACTAGTATTTTAAGAACAAGTGAAAGACATTTTAATATTTTGCCCATTTAATGGATATCACTTAAGATTCATGAAACATTCTACAAACAGCTACTGATACAGAAATATTACCAGTTGTTTGCTGCTGCCTTGATCTTTCACTGTTTGAAAATGTTTCTTGTGCTGTAGAAGCAGCATAGAAACTGTTTTCTGATGGGTGTGGTATGGGAAGATGGTTTTGATTCATGAAGGAAATTAGTACTGTAATTTTTTTTTTTTTTAGTTCAGTGAATTAGTATCATTAGAAACAAATACTTAAATTTGAATTGTATTTGAAAACACATTTATAGAAAATTATAATGCATATGTTTTCAACCTAACCATAAATCAAATTGGTTTTCCATGCTTCTTTTAATGTAGATACGGTGTCTTTGAGAGGCTGTTAAGTCTTTCCTTACAGACTTCTGCTACACTGTTTTGTGAGATGTCATCTGACCTATGGCTGTTCTTACAAAACCTCCAAGATCTTTTACTTTGTTTCTTTTTGGGTTTTAGTGGCCTTATTTGTAAAGTGAGTGCCGGGAATGAGAATGCTTGTCTGACAACAAATCATTTGGCTACACTTGGAAAACTGGAACCTACTGTAGTACCTTTAGTGATTGCCTTCAGGTACTGGGCAAAGGTAAGAGTCATTTGTATTCCCCTATCTGTGAATAAATATTGAATGAATATTGATACGGTGGTAAGACTGTAGGTATGGTTTAGAAAACAGTTGTTGAAACAGTCTTTAGAAAACGAATTGGTGAAAGGATATTTAATTTTTTTCTAAATTGTAAATTTATAAATTATATAACTATCATTTGTGCATTAGAATGTTCCACTAAATTTCAAAAGTGGAATTTTAAGCTTCAGCCAGTGGCATGCAGACTGTAAGTATCCTGCTCTGTTACCAAACAAGTCATAAGAATGTATATGAAATGGAATTACCAGTTTCCCATAAATTTAATCCATCATGAAAAAAATGAAAGAAAAAGCTGCTTGTTTCTATATACGTAAATGAAAACTTTCTTGTGAATTAAAATAACTTGTTCCAAAACTTTGTGTACCTGCAATTAAAATATGATTTAAAAAAAACCCAACATTGAAAAACTTTTGGCTTGTACCATATCTATGTAAAATAAATCATCATTTTTGCAAATGTGCTGTATGCTGTCTGTTTTGCCAGTCTGTATCCTATGGCTCTTACACTGAAAATATTATGGTAATAATATGACTCCAGTAAATATGCAGGCCTTGAGAACAAAGTCAGTCTCACAAGAGGTCAAAGACTTATGAGTTTCTGTCAGTATTTAATGTGACAGACTTCTGAACAGTAATTAAAAGAATATTTTTCACGGTATCACTTGAAACTTTAATGACTGCACAATTTATTTTTACAGTTGTGCCGTGTTGATCGTCCTGAAGAGGGAGGCTTGTCACCTTATGTGTTCGCTTTAATGGTTATTTTCTTTCTACAACAGAGGAAAGAGCCTTTTCTACCTGTCTATTTGGGATCATGGGTATGTGTATTAATACACTGAATAGTATGAATGAGAGGACCAATCACCTGTGGTGTGTAACCTGTCAGCTTCTTGCTATTCTGAGCAAGCCATAAGCCAGCTATTTCTGCAGGAATTCAGGAAGAATGTGAATTCAGCCAGACTACTCCTAACCTTTGTATGCTTGGCTGTAAGGATGCAGTTCACAATTGTAGTCATTAAGTGCTCTGTTGCCCATTTTGTGAGTAAGGAGAGCTGGGCATTGAATAATGTACTTTGTAACAACCTACTTCCTCATTTCTTCAACCTTTCTTCCAGACTTTTCAGAACTCTGAATTCACATAGCTACATCCCAAAGCAATGTGTTGAATTTTGACATAAATTCTTCAAAATGTAGACCACATTTGGGGGGCACGGTGGTGTGCTTTCTGCCCGAGGGATCAGACTAGGGGTTTAGAGCACGTATTTCTTGGGTTTAGAAGCTGAAATGCATCTTAATATCAGGCGTTGTATTATGGACACAAAGTCAGAATCCAATTCTCCAGGACACCATTCAGGTGTTATATTCATGGCACACATTTTTGTTCTTATAATGACCTGTTATATTTAGTGTGCATGGTCCAGTTTCCATAACCAATTACATGGGCCTTGCAGTTAACAATTTCCTTCAGCACGTGACTGACTCATTCCCAAAGCCTCTCCACTCTCTGCACTGAATAAAAGAACAGTCCTACAGTATATGGCCATGTAGTTAAAAAATACATATTTATGCTTGTGTAATGTGCAAAGACAAGGTTCTGTGACATATGAATACCCTTCCACAAGCACTGAACTCTTGAGAGTATTTTATAGAGAAGTATAGGGAGAAGAGCAAAGCAGATTGGGATATATTCTAGGCCTGGAACAGCTATTTTTAAACTTTGTTCTGTTTTTAATTTGGTTTACTACCATGGCGGGGGGGGGGGGGGAGATTTAAAGTTCATATGATGTTTAGCTTTATGTTTGTTTTTCTGTTTCCTTTAGATTGGAGGATTTTCATTAAACAAATTAACTAATTTTCATCTGAAAGAAGTTGAGAATGATGCTGTGGTTTGGGAGCATAACCCCATTGATGATTCTGATTTGCCACAAGAAACTTCCCCTAGAAGGGGCAAGGTCTGAACTATTTAGTTTATTTCTGTAGTAGTCTAGCAGTCATTGCTGTTCTTGAAAAAAGAACCATCTTCTATTTTTGTTTAGTGTTTATGTTGCAAAGCCACAAGCCGAACTAAAAGTTTGCATGACTGCTTGATACCATGCTTACTATGCTTACTTCTTGGTGCTAACAAGCTAGCAGGAAACTAGGTGTTATTTCAAACTCTTTAATAAGACCAGGGGTTTTAATCATGGAATAATAGAATCATAGAATTGTTTAGGTTGGAAAAGACCTTTAAGATCATCCAGTCCAACCATTAACCTAACGTTACCAAGTCCACACTAAACCAATCAAGGGTAGACTAGACTAAACCAGTCCCAAAGTGCCACGTCTACCCATTTTTTGAACGCTTCCAGGGATGGTGACTCCACCACCTCTCTGGGCAACCTGTTCCAATGCTTGACTACCCTTTCCGTGAAGAAATTTTTCCTAATATCCAACCTAAACCTCCCCTGGCACAGCTTGAGCCCATTTCCTCTTGTCCTATCGCTAACTACTTGGGAGAAGAGACCAACAGCCACCTCACTACAACCTCCTTTCAGGTAGTTGTAGAGAGCAATAAGGTCTCCCCTCAGCCTCCTCTTCTCCAGACTAAACAACCCCAGTTCCCTCAGCCGCTCTTCATAAGGCCTGTGCTCCAGACCCTTCCCCAGCTTCGTTGCCCTAATCTGTCAGGGGAGAATATAGTTTATAGAGTTGAAGCAATTTTATCTCAGAATTAGGTTAAGCATATGAAAAATATTTCCTCTTAGCTTTGAACTATTCTTATAAATTATTTATTTTATAATACTTAGCAAGAAACAGTATCACTATATGATTGCATGTTATGATGCTTAACAAAACAGCTTAGGCTTTGCTAAAAAATAGGCTACATAATCTATTTTGTCCAGTTAAACTAGATGTGATATTTTCTTGGAAATTTATAAACTATGGCCTAAGCACGTAAATAAGGAATTGTTATTAATCATTGATGCTGTTCTTTATTGATGCCATGCTGCAGTCCTTCATTTTGAAGTTTCATAATCTGACTTTATACTACCTCTTCCAGTTTTTTAATTGCAGGTTTTAGTGCAATTGCAAGATTATAGAAGCAACTGTAAATTTTGTAGTATTACATTACAGATGAAAGACAAGGAAGTGTAACAGCTAAACACTGTGCATTAAATATTATTTAAGTTTTTCTTCTGTAATTGACAGGTTCCCTTAGTATTTGGTTCAGGACAGCAGTGTTCAGCATCTGCTGGTCAGCTCTGGGTAGAACTGCTTCGTTTCTATGCCTTGGAGTTCAATATGGCTGATTTGGTTATTAGCATACGACTCAAAGAAACAGTGTCTCGTGAATCAAAGGACTGGCCTAAAAAGCGCATTGCTGTGGAAGGTATATATATCAACAAACTTCAAAGAACTGTTACTTTAATTTTCTAGGGTACTGTCTTGGCTATTGACATTGTGTGTAGTAACTTCGAATTTTTCAATATTGGACTGTGATTCCCAATAATATAGTAGAATCTGTTTGGAAAAAAGAAATCAATTTAAGTCCTATTTCTCTTGGGTATTTTTTTCAGTGTTATCAGAACTAATTAAGTGGACTTAAAAATTGTCTTCAGCACAATTCATAGATCTTATGTCCCTACAGAATGTTTTAGAGTAACTAACAGTAGCATATTGAAATTTGGTAAGATGTAAGTGTATACTTTTTTTTTAAAAAGTTAACTCCTGCACTGCTGGCTCACTTCTTCTTTCTACTAGACCCATATTCAGTCAAAAGGAATGTGGCAAGAACTCTGAACAGCCAGCTAGTGTATGAGTACATTCTTCACTGCCTGAGAGCAACTTACAAGTATTTTGCGTTGCCTCACAAAAAAAGTGCAAAAGTGAGCAAAAAATCCTCCCCAAATGCCGGTGAGGAGAAATCCCAAATGCTGGACCATGAAAAAGATGCTATAAAGCATGAAAATTCTGAGTTGCAAAACTTGGATGGTAGAACAAACACAGCCGTAGTGGAAGATTGCATAATGGAGACTACAGGTACACCCCAGGCACATAGAATTGATTCTTCAAAACTGTGTGATGGCTCAGAAAGCTTCACAGAAGAAGAACTGGCTGATGATATAAATCATTTGGGAATTGCCCATGAAGATTCAGACTGTATAATTGAGGAAGTTGTTTCTGGAGATAATGAGGATTTTAAACCAAGTTGTGAAGAGACAGAGAGTGGAAATGAAGAGGAAGAGGAGGAGGAAGAGGAAGAACATGAACAACAAAAAAGAAGATGGAATAATATCCTGACTACTGAGCAGGGAATAGATGAAGAAAGTGATAGTGGAGATCTCCCTGTTACAGTGAATGAGCATGATATAGAGACATGTAGTACTTCAGACTTAGAAGGTTTTCAAAATGTTGCACTTACAGAGAGTGATGAGTTTGGCTTAGAGTGTGGTGGTATAATGGATGGCAAGATTGACATTGATGAGGAGAGCACTGAAGGTACTGATGAAGTGGATGAGTCGCCCAAAAAATTTGTGTGTTCAGCTCAGAGTCAAATATCCCAAATGATTAACTCAGATGATGAGGAGGAAGAGGAGGAAGAACCAAGTCTTCTAAACCAGAGAAACTGTGGTGTTATCATAAGATCTGGAGATGAACTAGGTAACACATACACTGGATCTGGAGATGATGATGCACTGTCAGAGGAAGAAGAAGATTTCTCCATCCCAAATAAATACGAGGACAAACGTTTTGAAGAAAATGTGGATGGACCTCTCAGGATCAATTTGAGTCAAGACGATCTTACTGAAAAACGAAGCATTTTTGAAGAGAACACAGCAATAGAACAGTGTTTAGAATCTGAACTCTTTTATGAATTCAGTAAACCAGCTTTTACAAAGGGCAAGGTAAGCAAGCTGTATCGGAACATAAACATACCGCTTATGTTCTATTATCAGTTATATGAAAGTGTTGCTCAAATTTATTAAAGCATTATGGCTTTTAAAACCAATCTTGCTTTCTGTTCATGCAGTCTCCCACAGTAGTATGTAGCTTGTGCAAACGGGAAGGTCACTTAAAGAGGGATTGTCCAGAAGACTTCAAGAAAATTGAGCTTGACCCACTGCCAGCGCTGACACCCAAATTTTCAGTTATTCTAGATCAAGTTTGTGTCCAATGTTACTGTAAGTTTTTTCCTTTGAATATTGTTATGTGGTAGAAAAATAATTGAAAAAAAAAAAAAAAGAAATAACCACAGGCTAGCGGTATTATAAAGGGGACAGTTTATTTGCTACACTGCATCCAACTTTCTTAGGTACAATTCTAAGATTTGTAAGGGCTTTAACAGGGCTACTGAGTAGTTTGTATCTAGAGAAATACAAAATGTTTAGGTTTATCTTCCACACACTGGCTGGCTGATTACTCATTTAGGCATCTTAATATAATTTCTATGGGTTTAACTTTGGGTGGGTTTTTTGACTTTTACATTTCTGTTTACTTTGAATTTCGTTACTATTCCTTAACTTGTGCTTTTTAGTAAACAAAGACTTCAGTGTTCTAGAAAAAATTGAGTCAAAATACTGTTTTGTAATACTTTTTCACTTTTGTTCTTTTCAGAGTGACCCAACTTTCCTCCTTTCTCTCTCGCCATTTCTGACCAGACAAAATGCATTATTTGTCTAATTAATGTTTTTCTTTGAACAGGTATTTCTCTTCTACTTCATCCTTGCTTTCTTTCCTTCACATGTGATTCTTCTCTTCTCTTGCTTTTTCTCTCCCCCCTGCCCTGGTTTTAAACCCCTCACATATTTCATTTGAATCTTTGCTGTTGACTCTTTCTACAGATCAGTTTGCCTGAATTGTTGTCCTTTTTTTTCTTTTTTCTTTTTTCTTTTTTTTTTTTTTTTTTTTGTTTCCCTTAAGATGATTTTGCTCCAAATATTGTAGAGGATCAGGCTCGGGAACATATAAGACAAAACTTGGAAAACTTCATTAGACAGGATTTCCCAGGTAATTAGCCAGTTCTAGCCTTATATATATACTTCGGTGTGTTCATATTTGAGTGTTTTCCAAGAAAACGTATCATATCAGCATAATAAACATTTTAGGTTTTGAACGTTTAACCTATATTGTTGCTCAGCATTGCTATACTTCGTTACATTAACTTCTGTTTTAAGTCTTTTAAGGCTTTGGTTTAAGTCTTTTTTGACTTAGTCATATATAAAACACATTAGTAGGAAGGAACAGTGGCAAGTTAAGGAGAAAACGATCAAAGCAGTAGTGGAACAGTTTTATAATTGTTATTTTAGCTTTATTCATTAGCCAAGCTTCTTGTTGTTGTATCTGCTCTAACAAACAACAAGCTTTTTGTAGTCCTTCCTACTGAAACTCACCGGTTTTGGAATATTTTAAAATACAGGCACAACGTCTGACCTATCTGCAAAACTTAGCTATTTGAATTCTTTGTTTGTTTCTGGAGTTCTTACCTGCAACACCTGGACTTCAGTTCATAGTCTTTTAAAATTAGCAAAAGATTTTTTAGCTGGAGCCTGCTATGTTGGCAGATAAGTTCCTTACCCTGAAAATCTCTGTAGAGAGCAGTCTTACGTATTTTATCACATTTCAGCTTGGACCTGCATGCTCATGATTTATTGGAAAACATAACTTGTTCCTGGATCTGTCAGGCTGCTCATTGGAACCAATAAAAGTAGAGATTCTTTCCTCATCAGCAAAATTGATAAGAAAATAAGTTTTGATGTACCATAGAAAGATAGTAATGTTTTCATGCCTGTATTAAAAGACATGCAGTGGTTTGAAGCTATATACAATTTGAGATTCTGTGTCAATATGTGGTTATAACCCATCACATCTCTTACAGGAACCAAGCTGAATTTGTTTGGCTCCTCAAAAAATGGCTTTGGCTTCAGACAAAGTGACCTTGATATCTGTATGACAATGGATGGGCTGGAAACTGCTGAGGTAGTTTGAAAAGGTTTTTTTTTTAATAAATGCAAAATTTTGTGGTTATATTTTATATATAGTGTAACAAATTTATTATTTTATAAAAGCTTTTCGCATTAGAAGAAAACACAAATTGGTGCCACAAAGGCAGACTATTTTAGGGGCTCTTGCTGTTGGTCTAGGCATGAGTTTAAGAACTACTCTCAGTACTCAGTTTTCTTCTGAATTCTGCACTACCATTACTTCTAGCATTAGCTTTGCAGATAAATAACCTGCTTTGTAGCATAAACAGCTAGAATGGGAGACAGTGGAATAGAACATCAATCTCCTTTCATGCCTAATATAAACTTTTTATAAGCCTATGTTAAGATACTATCTAGTGGTGATTTTACAAGTGCTAATTTAAAACAACTTCTGGTATTCACATAATTCTGTATAATATAAAACTCTCAATTATACAGCTTTAAGCTTAATGGCAAGTAATAAAAGGTTTGCCTAAATACTTGCAGCAGATCCAACTTTGAACTGTTTTTTCTTGATGTCTTAGGGACTTGATTGCATCAGAATCATTGAAGATTTAGCAAAAGTTCTCAAGAAACAGTCAGGTAACTTTCTTGAAAATTAAAATAAGTGGTTCTGTTTATATGACTTCAGTTGCTGTAGTGAGAATGCTTTGGAGCACTGTAGATGAAAACCATTAAGATAAAACTATATTGAAGAGCTTAATGTTAGTAAGAGTGAGGTTATATGTTGTTAACATTTGGATTTATTTTTGTTTGCACATGTAGGTGTGTCTATGAGGTTATAATGTTACAGGACCACATCTGAATTGGACAGATAGTATATTTATAACCTACATGCATAATAAAAAACCTTAAGTTAAAGCTTGAGGTTTCAAGTCAGTAGTTATTTTGTATTTGTATGTTCAGTGCCTAATAAGTTAACAGTAAAAGGTAGGCTGATACAAGTTTGCAATGGGAATTCTCTTTTTTCCTACAAGAAATTATCATTTTATAGTGCTTGTTTTGGTGTATCTCACATGAATTTAATGCAATTGGAGTGAACTATCAATCTCTTAAGCTTATTTTTCTGTAACAGTTAGACTGCTCTTTGTTTTATTGGGAGGCTAAACGTATATTGGTACATATTTAGTAGATTCATCATGTTTGACAAATGCCTAAAATAATATTAAAATACAACTGAAATACAATTTTGGTGTCAACTAGGATTTTATTTTGTAGCCTTTTTACTACAGCATGGAGTTATTTGTAGAGCATTTGATACTGTGAAGACTGTATTGCAGTCGTTCAGTAAACACACATTTCATCCTAGGTTTAAGAAATGTCTTGCCTATAACAACTGCTAAAGTCCCGATTGTCAAATTTTTCCATGTCAGAAGTGGTCTTGAAGTGGACATCAGTTTGTATAATACTCTGGTAAGGTTATCTCCTCTTTATTTTTCTTTTTTTTTTTTAACAGAAATATGTGAGTCTGCTTCTTGAGATTGAAGTGATTGTTTGTTGAGGTTCAATAATCAACTGTTTCTAATTACTTGTTGCAGTTCTAGATTTCCAAAAAAAACTTTTTTTTTATTTGACTATGAGTGAGGTCAGTTACACAATTGTGACTTTAGAGTTGTCACTTCTCTAAGAAAATATATTAGTTCTTCAGTAATAGTAAGAAATAGTGATTTAGGTGCTTAAGTCTTTCTGTGAATGAGAAAGACAAAATAATATAACTTCCGCTTGCCTACACCCCACTTCCCATCATGGCTTTTGCTTAGCCTTGAGACCTGAAATAGTGATTTTGAACCCAGCTTGCCTGAACTGGAATATGTGTTAGAACTTACAAAAACCCACAAGTTCTTGGCCAAATATTTTAAAAACAAGTTTTGGGTTTATTCAATGTCTCTGAACTTCAAAAGCCAGTTCCTTGAAACATCAAAGGAAAGTAAGTTCTAGAGCCAACTATTAAACTTTCTGAAGTTTTTGTATGAGCTCAAGGGGAGTCTTGAGGAAGATACCTCAAACACTAACTAAGTCTGAAAGTTTTCTTCTTGAAGTTATGCATCCATATGGGTCAGTTGATAGCTTTCACATTTCTGGGCTCAGATCTCTTAGTTCAAGAACTTACCTTCTACCAAATATTTTGAAAATGCAGTAGTTGATTAATGCTTCCCTTTCTGAAGTACTGTTCTGTGAATGCTGCTTTGTACAACTTCTGTGCAGATTAAGGTTGTTGATCAGCTTTTTAACAGAGCAGGTGATATAACCTCTTCGTTGAATGCTTCCTCTCTCAATATGCATTCTACGATGCAGGGCTTGGCATCTGCATTTCTTGAGCACACAACTTAAGAGTTTTTGGTTTTCGTGTTTTCAGCTTATTCCTTCATTTCTTCAGAGCTCCTGTATTTTCTGTGTGACTTTCTTATTTTATAGGCCTTGCATAACACAAGACTCCTGTCATCATATGCAGCCATTGATCCTAGAGTAAAATATCTGTGTTACACAATGAAAGTCTTTACGAAGGTAAGTATATTTCAGTCATTCTAGCAGCAGTAGTGCCTGCAGCAAGAGATGATAACCATAAAAGATACAAATCATGTTTCTTTTTCTAGATATGTGACATTGGAGATGCATCTCGAGGTAGCCTTTCTTCTTATGCATATACTCTTATGGTGCTTTATTTTCTTCAACAGAGAAATCCACCGGTCATCCCTGTTCTTCAAGAGGTACAGTATATCAAGAAAGAAACGAGTATCTGTACACAGTATTGACCAGAAGAATGTCAGTGCTGAATCTGAAGGGCTCTTCTAATGAGTTTAATATTATGCTTTCAGATCTACAAAGAACCAAAAAAGCCTGAAATTTTAGTTGATGGCTGGAACGTTTATTTCTTTGATAAGATAGAGGAGTTGGTGAGTAAATCAGAAAGGTCTTACCTGTAACTTTGCAAATTAAAAGGAATTCCTTTTAAGAAATATGGTGGTTGAATATAGAAATGGAAGTGGAGTAGCTATTGCTTTGAAAATCTCAATCCCATGCTGTAAAGTTTTAAGAATATTGTTGGCTGTAATTGATCTGTGGGGGAAAAAAAAAATCTGCAAAATCTGAAAAAATAGATTAAAAAAATTTTTTTTAAGGCATTAAGGATGATTAATTGCTCTCTGTGTGACATTACTGGGTGGAGATAACTCCTACAAGTGCCAGCTGCATATCTAGTCATAGCTGGTTAATCTTACTGACTAATTTCATATTAAATAGGCACATAAGTGAATTAATAAATTATTTTTTGTAGCAGGCAAAACCTTATGTTAGAAGCTTTACTAGTTCTCCATTTTTGTTGTTAAAATTTTAAAAAATATTTTAAAATCAATATTGGGTTATTAATACCAATTATGAAAGGAAGGCAAGTATTCTGGTGCAACTCAACTGTGTTTCTTTACAAAATAAGACCTACGTTGTTTGAGTTTCCAAGTTACAAAAATTATTCTGCTTAAAGCACTGGAAGTAAAAATGCTTCTGTCATTTTCAGTCAGTTGTTTGGCCAGACTGTGGCAAAAACACTGAATCTGTTGGGCAACTGTGGCTCGGACTTCTCCGTTTCTACACAGAAGAATTTGATTTTAAAGAGCACGTCATCTGCATTAGGAGAAAAAATCTACTTACAACTTTCAAGAAGCAGTGGACCTCCAAATACATTGTAATTGAAGGTAAAAGCATGTGAATTATGTGAATATGCAGAATTTCTTTAATGACCCCATGAAAAATTGGGTCTTTCCACAAGGCTTATTTATTTATCTATTACTAGATTATAAGTTGTTATTTGCTTATGTTTTGAAATCATCTCAAAATTCCCATTGAGTTTCAGTAGTGCTAAAAATTATTCTTAGGGGTTTTTTTTCCCCTCTACTGAAAAGAAGCTGCAAAGCAGACTTCATACTTTTCACGATGACAGTAATTGACAGAAAAATAGATTTAACCAAATCCTTTGGAAAAGAAATTAGCTGTAATGCAGTTGAGGTTTTCTTACAAATACTAAGTTTAGCTGAGTCCATATTTACGTGACCAATTTAACCCTGCATATGATTACGCTGTTAAGTAATACTATGGTCTCTATCAAGAAAATGCAGTGACATGTTCTAGAAATGTTCCCTAAACTACTTTCTGGCCCATATGACTTTCATGGGAAGAATTTCTACTCTCTCGCCTGCACATTCAACTTACTCTTTTACAATACTTCAGTCAGTTCAGAGCTGGACGGCTGTGATCCTTCGTCCAGTTCAATTTCAGTATATTAATTCTGCATCGGTAATAGCTGCATTGGGTTGTTCATGTGTATGTATACATTGCTGACCTTGTTCTGAACTTGAGTAAAGCCTGTAATGCTTTTTGTACAGACCCCTTTGATTTGAACCACAATCTTGGAGCTGGATTGTCAAGAAAAAGTAAGTCTCCTGTTAACAAATTTGGGTACAAAGTGAAGATCTTGTCTTGGATCTTCTTTTTCTGGCTTGTTTGATGTTTGGATGATGTTTTCTCTTTTTTTTTTTTTTCCCTTCCCCAGTGACAAATTTTATAATGAAGGCTTTTATCAATGGCAGAAGGGTATTTGGTACCCCTGTAAAAATATTTCCTAAAGAATATTCATCAAAAATGGTAAGTTGCTTCTAAGAGCAGTATGTGCCTGCTCTTGGGTGTATAACTTACCACTTGCAGGAATATGATTACACTCTCTTTAAGCTCTTCTCTCTTCGAGTTCAACAGCATTTTAAAAATCTTTATGGGAGTTATTACTGACTACTGTTTTCTTGATGTTTGCATGTAAAATGTTTTGGCATGCAGAATACTAATCAAGTCGGAGCTTCATTGTACAGGCTAACGTATTTTACTCCCTATCAAAACCAGCTTACCATTTCTTAAAACTGCAGTTTTAAAAAACAGCTTGCAGACCTGGTGGTCAGCAGACTGCCTGTAAAGAAGAGGCCAGTGGCCAGTTAATCTCATTAGGTCTTTCAGGAGTTCAGCGACACAAGGTTTATTATTCTCTGTGACTCTTAAGCAAGTGTTAAACAGCAGTTATCTGTCTTGATTCCCAAGTGTATGGCTTTTCATTTTAAATGCATGATTTCTTCTTCAGGAGTACTTTTTTGATCCAGAGGTACTAACGGAAGGAGAATTGGCACCAAATGATAGATGCTGCAGAATTTGTGGTAAAATTGGCCATTTCATGAAAGATTGTCCCATGAGAAGAAAGTGAGTATAGTTTTGGCATCTGTCTGGAACATTTCCTTAGGTTTGTTCAGAAGAAAGATTGGGATAGTAATGCTGAAGTAAAACTTGTATATGCTGCAGATTATTTCCTTTACTGTTGAAATGAAAATGATCAAATCAGTTTTGGCAGTGGTGGATGGTGTTAGTTTTTTAAATTTTTGGTCTGTATTGAGTCGTTACTTAACTTTTGCCAGCATCATCTGGAGTGTTTTTAAACAGATTCTTTTCATAGAAGGCTGCAAAACTACTTAGCATAAGGTAGTAATGCTGACTCTGCACTTCATTATGTAGGAAAGCAGTAGTCAAAGAGAATCTAAATGCAGAGCTTGAATAGCTGTGTGCTGTGAAAAGCACTCACAAAAGCATTTTATATGTTTTCATTTAATAGCTTCTACTTCCAGAATCCTGCTGCTCCCAGCAAGACACATTTTTGTCGTGTTCACAGAATCATGCAATTCATGTCAAAAAGCAAGGCAATAATGTCACAGCATTCTTTTCTTAAGTACACACATATGAGAACAATGTCCTGTTTTACATCAAGAGGTTTCCTGATCCTGAGTAACCTGATGTCCAAAATTCAGCAACTATATTTTTGTAACAAATGAATGCTAAACTGATCTTCTTGCTCTTCATATTATGAACTGTCTAAACTTAAAACCGATCCACTGATTTTTTTTTTCCTAGTTAAGACAAAGCTCTTTAAAGACTTCGTGTCTCTAAAATAGTGAAAATCAGTAAATAAAACTGCAAGAGGATGAAGTCCTGAAAGCCTTTGTGCTCACCTGTAAGGTGAATGGAAAACTCTAACCTTTGTTTAGAGTCTGTCTATGTTAAAAGCTGTAATTAAAAACCACTTGCACTTTGTGTAAGTAGCTTAAAAGCTACTTACATTGGATTGGATGAAGTAGCCTTTGTGCTACACAATAGAGAATTGTGAACTTACATTGTTGAGACTATTAATTTTGGAATTTATTCAACTTCAGCAAATGCAGTTACGGTAGCTGATGATAGTTTGAAAATAAAGCTGAAGGTGGTGTGAAAATCTACTCAATGTCTAAACTGCCGTCTCAGATGGAATGGATTTTTAATCTTGAATTCTGGAGTGAAAGCTCAGTTCATTGCACATACATAGCTGTGTTCTATACAACATTAGAGTGAAAGTCAATGGGATTTTGCATCTAAGAACATAAATGCCTTACGGGGTAAGACAACTGATATATCAGAGTCCTCTGTCCAGCCATTGCAATAGGAGATGCTGTCTATGGAGGGCACACTAGCTGGCTGTTTTCTGTACTCTCTTCTCATGCATTCCCCCAGCATCTGCAGCTGCTGTTTAAGAGATGTTAGAGCATATACCTGCTCTGGTCTCATAGTTCTCATTTGTGGACTGGAGTTGTTTATCATAGAATAGTTTAGGTTGGAAGGGACCTTTAAAGGTCATCTACTCCAGCACCCCCTGCAATGAGCAGGGACATCTTCAATAGATCAGGTCGCTTAGAGCCCTATCCAACCTGATTTTGAATGTTTCCAGGGATGGGGCATCTACCACCTCTCTGAGCATCCTGTTCTAGTGTTTCACCACCCTAATCATAAAAAATTTCTTCCTTATAGCTAGTCTGAATCTACCTTCTTTTAGTTTAAAACTGTCACCCCTTGTCCTGTTGCAGCAGACCCTGCTAAAAAGTTTGTTCCGATCTTTCTTACAAGCCCTGTTTTAAGTATTGAAAGGCCACAATAAGGTTTCCCTGGAGCTTTCTCTTGTCCAGGCTGAACAATCCCAACTCTCAGCCTTTCCTCATAGGAGAGGTGCTCCATCCCTCCAGTCATTTTTGTGGCCCTCCTCTGGACCCAATCCAACAGGTCCATGTCTTTCCTGTACTGAGGGCTCCAGAGCTGGATGCAGTACTCCAGGTGGGGTCTCACCAGAGCAGAATAGAGGGGCAGAATCACCTCCCTCAACCTGGTTTTGTCCTTTTTGTTTGGATGTTTCTTTCTGAGCCTCATTCTCCTGTTTTCCTTTAACAATTGTCAATGGCAACCAGTTCCATAAGTATGCTAACTGGTGTGTAAAGTAAGACTTTCTTTCATTTGTTTAAAGACAATCTGATTTTAATTTCATAAACATTCCATAGGTGTAGCCGTGGGGGATTAAGTTAATAATGATACTGCCTTGAAGATTTTTTGAGCCATGATTGTGTTCACCCTCTAGCTTCTCTCCAGGTTGGGGAGTCTTGGCCTTTTTAGTATCTCTTCCTGAAACACTTGCTCTCTTCATCATTTTAGCTGCCTTTCTCTGTACCTTCTCTAACTCTACTACTTCCTTCTTAAAATATTGAGACCAGACCAATATGCAGTACTCAGATGTAGGCACACCATGGTTTTATGTAGCAACAAAATGATGTCTTCTGTCCTGTTCTTAGTGTTTTATCCATCCTATTGCTACACTTCCTGAAAAAGAGTCCCTCCCCTTCTTTTCTGTAGGCCCCCTTTAAGTACTGGAAGGCTGCTATAAGGTCTCCCTGCAGCCTTCTCTTTTCCAGGCTGAACAACCCCAACTCTCTCAGCCTGTTCTCATAGGGGAGGTGCTCCAGCCCTCTGATCATCTTTGTGGCCCTCCTCTGGACCCAGTCCAACAGGTCCATGTCTGTCTTGTACTGAGGACTCAAGAGCTGGATGCAGTACTCCAGGCAGGGTCTCACAAGAGTGGAATAGAGGGGCAGCATCACCTCCCTCAACCTGCTGACCATGCGGCTTTTGATGCAGCCCAGGATTGTCTTTCTGGACTGTGAGCGCACATTGCTGGCTCATATTCAGTTTTTCATCCACCAATACCCCCAAGTCCTTCTCCACAGGGCTGCTCTCGATCCACTCATCATGCAGGCTGTATCCATGTTTGAGATTGCCCTGTCCCAGTTGCAGGACCTTGCACTTGGCTTTGTTGAACTTCATGAGGTTCACATGGGCCCACCTCTCCAGCCTGTCAAGGTCCCTCTGGATGGCATCCCTTCCCTCTAGAGTATCAACTGCACCACTCAGCTTGGTGTCATTGGCAAACTTGCTGAGGGTGCACTCAATCCCACTGTCCATGTCCCCAGCAAAGATGTTAAATAATACTGGTCTCAGTACACACCCCTGAGGAACACCACTCATCACTGGTCTCCACCTGGACATCGAGCTGTTGACCACAACTCTTGAGTGCAACCATCCAGCCAATTCCTTGTCCACTGAGTGGTCCACCCATCAAATCCCTATCTATCCATTTTAGAGATGAGGATGCTGTGCGGGACCATATCAAATGTTTTGCACAAGTCCAGGTTGATGACGTCAGGTGCTCTTCCCTTATCCACCAATGTTGTAACCCTGTTGTAGAAGGCCGCCAAATTTGTCAGGCATGATTTGCCCTTAATTGAAGCCATGTTGGCTGTCACCAGTCATCTCTGTTTTCTGTGTGCCTTACCATAGTTTCCAGGAGGACCTGCTCCATGATCTTGCTAGGCAGAGGTGAGACTGACTGGCATGTAGTCCCCCAGGTCTTCCTTTTTTCCTTTTTAAAAAAAGGGAAGCTCACCTTAAAGCTCATCTGCCATTCTTTTGCCCCTTCATACTGTTTTGTGAGGTGTTTTCAAGTTGCTTCCCATTAGCACTGCATCTGACTGACCAAAGGAGCCTAGTACCATCTTCAGACTTGGAGGTTTCACTGATGTCTCCTTGTGTAGGTCATGTATAAAGAAGTTAGATAAAACCAGTCTGGCAGTGGTAGCTGTTTCCCCACTGCTAGGTCTTTAAGTCACGTAGAATGCTAGAAGCTTCTCCCAGTAGAAGAAACTTTTAGAGATACTGCAAATATACACAGTTTCAGAAGGAAGGAAGTGAGATTTCTCATTGATTGTACAAGAAGGGAAAAAAAAATAGAACTATAGGCCTATTTTTTATACTTTGTTAGTATCTTGCTTGGTGTTTCTTTTCTTCCACTGTCTTCGCAACTCCAGCACCCAGACTTTCTGTTGTGTTTATATTTTTTGAGATACAATTGTTAGCATTTAGGGCTGTATTGTAATCTAATTGTAAAGTTAAATTATTAAATATATGTTACATCACTGTAGCACTGTTTGGTAGGAGAGTCAAAAGGACAGGTACATTAATTCACTTTATTTAACCCATTGAAGAAATATATGAAATACATCTATTGTCTGTAGACAGCACTTGCTTTGGTTTGGTTTTTTTTTTACTCTGTGTACGTATGTAAGGCCTTTGAACTCTGCAGCATTTTTCTGCTCCTGCAGACTAAGACGGCGTCGTGATTACGAAGAAGTCAAAAACCAGAGGTACACAGAAAGCAAGGAGAAAAGAAGCAAAGAGGACAAAGAAACTCAGAATAAAACAACAGAAAAGGAGAGCTCAATCAAGGAAGGAAAGTTGCATCTATGTACACCTCAGAAGAGAAAACTAGCAAGGGTAATAGTGGAAACTGGAAGAGAAAAGACACCCAGGCAGTCAGCAGAGAAGTGGAAGCGCCTAGAAGACAGAGACTTAAGAGAAAAACGTTGTTTTATCTGTGGAAGAGAAGGTCATATTAAAAAGGAATGCCCACAGTATAGAGGAGCTGCAGGTATGAAACTGATCAAGCTGAGTAGTTTAAACAGAGCTTATGTTTTTTGGTATTTTTAACAGGGTTGACTAATGGGTAAGGGTTCTGCTTTGAACAACATCATGTAAATGCTATCTTTTTTTTTTTTAAATGTACTCACATTTAGTCAATTTTCCCTTCATCCTCACCTACATTTTCAGAACTTTGCTGTATCCCAAGAGATTTGACATGGTTTCTCTTAGTAGGTAAGATGCTTGAAATAGAAAGCATATGAGTGTCCAATATGTTGAAATTGCTTCCGTTGTCCTCACTATAAAGTGTGCTAACATTTCAAATTACAGCTTCTTTCAGTACATCATAATTGCAACAAAAGCCAATTTTATTGCTCTTCACATCACCTAAACCAGAATTATTCCATAAAGACCCTGAAGTCACTATAAAAGTGTACAAATTGCTCAGGTAGAATATTGTGAATGAAATAAAATAATGTTCCTGCCAAGTCAGAAGTTGAAGGGATACAGAAATCTGTCTTATTTTTCATGGAGTAATTTTGCAACTTTGGCTTAAAAAAAAGAAAACAAAACCTACAAAAATGCTCCCAAATCCAGATACTGACTGGCAGAACTGAATGACATAATGAAATACTTGCTTAGCGGTATCTAAGTCATTCCTCAGATAAGACAGATCTCTCATCATCTGTGTTGTAAAGGAAAATCATTCTAGGATAAAATTGAGACTCCCTAAGACAGTGAATGGTACTCTAGTTAGCTTATGAAGGAACACTACTATTGTTTCCCTGTAGGTAAACCTAGGAGCATTTAAATTCATGCTGGATAAATTTGCTCTGCAGATTACTCATGACTTGACCTCGTAAAGTAACAAACAGGAATCCTTTGTATAAATATAATTTCAAACCAGCTCTTCTCTACTAGCAAAAATGTTCTGTCTGGCTTAGATCAGGAGACCCCTCTTAATTAGATGTAGGTGGTGGAAGAGGGCATAAGACTGTGCTAACAAAGTACTGGAAGGAGGATGAAAATGGTGCAAATATATTCAGAACTTTCAAGGTATTTAGAGGTGTTCATAGTTCAAAAGGCTGCTGGAAGTGTTGGGTGGACAGAAAACATGCTTAAAAATTGAAGCCACATTTTATTCAGCTTCTGACCTTTTGAAGGTGTGTGTCAAGTCTAAATCCAACTTCTGAGTTTCTTTATCTTTGACCTTTCTTGCTGAGCGTTTCTTTCTACCATTCCGTTTGCCATGATGCTGAGTTTGCTAAGGTGAGGGGAAGTATGCCTGACTTCTGTAGTCAGTGGTATTGGTGTATTTTACAACATTCATCATATGAGACCTATGCTGAGGCTGTAGTTTTTGTCTGTTATGTGTATTTTGGGAATGACTATATTCTAATTTGAAGAGAATTGCTGTAGGTTCGGCTTTGTCTTTTTGTGCTTGCTTAGTGCCTGAAGTGTTCTCTCTAGTTGGATAGAGGACTATGAACAACTGGACCTAAGAGATCTGGACCTAAGAGATCAGACTTCTTTCTTTGCTATGCTACAAACATTTTGTGAGACTATGGACAATTCACTTATCACCATATCTGCATTCATTCTCTGAAGTTCCCTGTCGCCCTCTGATTCTGGAGGTGGATAGAGAGCTTCATTTATTGTAGGTTCCTAGCTTAGATGCTTAACTATAGCTGCACCTTGCCTCATTGTGCCAGTTTTCGATGTTGTAAAACTAAGGAAAATAGCAATGTCCTACCTTCTATGCACTATGAAGGTGGATTGCAAATATTTTTGTACTTTTATATATTATGATATCTGAAGTGGAAACTAGTTTCAAATTAGCAAGTCTTTGTTATATTATGATCTCTTCAGGTGGTTCAAAACCAGAAGTGTTGTGTGGATCCCCTTCTTTGCCCAGCACTGCCAAACATGCTGGCAGATTAAATCAGGTAAACACCAAGTGTCTCTTTTCTTAGATCTTTTTAAGTGTTCTAAAGTCCGTTTAAAGTAACTTTACTTAAGCTTTCAAGGAGAATATTTTATGGTTTTTATTGTGGAATGCCATAATTCAATCTTGTTGGTTCATCAATGTGTGTATGTTGTTTACAGGGAATGCTTATACATGAAGAAAAAAAGAAACAAAAAGGAAAAGTATTTTTGAGTCCCCAGTCAGGTTTGTATATCTTCATTTCAATTCAGAAATTCTGTGTAAAGGCATGTATTTTTAACTTGCTTTCCTTGTCAGTCCTTATGGGAACTCTGCCTTATTTGCTGAACACAGCAGCAGTCTGGACAGGTTGCTAGATAATCCTGAAGTGAAGCTGTATTTTTTTACTGGGAAAGTGTGCAATTTTTTTCAGTTTTGTTTTGGAAGCAAAACAGGCATGTCAGTTCTGTGCATTTTTTCTTTAACTCTGGTAGATTTATTTTGCGGAAGGATATGGTGGGTTTTTATCAATCTCTCTTCCTCTCCTGTTTCAGCATACATGGGGTTCTGTGTTTCTCCAGGGGTGACATGTGGAGCACTTTCTTGTGAGGCTTCCTCAGAGTAATTGTCTAGAGTTCCACATGATCAACTAACTTACAGACTATCAGAGCACATCCTTGGTCTGAGCTGCCAAAATTCAAGGAAGTTAAAACTACAGTTATAAGTAGCAGTCAGATGATAATAGAAAGGCCTTTATGTACTCTGTCTGGATCGGAGATGTTTTGTGTTAGATGCATGGTTACAAATGCAGCTTCCTTACAGTAATTTCACACACTTATTAACAGGTACAATGAAGATTTTAAAAGCAACTGCTTTTTTTTTTTTTTTTTTTAATTAGAGTTTCTAGTGCAACTCTGCAAACCTTTTAGCAGCGTGGGTGTTTTCAATAAAATATATAAGTCTTTCGGGGCACCTGAAAGAGGACCTAAGGAGTCTTTACAAACTTTGCAAAAACTAAACTGCATTTAAGTATGTCAAATTAAATTCTCAGTTTTGTTGAGAAGACACGGTATTTTCTGTTTTCACTGCAAGGCTTTTTCAAATCTAAGTTTGGGGATTTTAAAAACAAAGTGATATGTCATTAGGTGTTGAAAAAAATGCTAGTTTTCAATTTTGCATTTTAGTATTTCCTACTGTCCTCCAGCAGGTAATGATCTCAAGTTGATCTGTGTATGCTTTCATTATAGTCTGACTTAACACTAATTTCATCTGTCTGATTGTTTCAGTTGTTTTATGTCTGTGTCTTTTTTTTTTTTTTTTAAACTTTTAAAGTGTGATGCTTTCTTCCTCCCAATCTTAGGCAGCCTTTCCAATAAATACATGACTCAGGGAAAAGCCTCACAGAAGAGGACCCACCAAGAATCATGAGGGATATTAAGCACTGTTAAATTGCAATACAGGCCCTTCATTCATTTAAAAAATTTTCTTTGGCTAAAGCATCTTGATTCACAGGACAGCAGCACAGACAACCTTTGACTTAAGTTTAATGAAATATGGATGTTTTATTTTAGATTACTGGTACAAGCAACTGTGGATTTTAATACAGACCCCTGCTCTTAAATAGATTGTTTGAGCATTTTAATAGAAAGCCATGATGTTTTTTATTTGTTTACTAGGTAAATCGTATAGAAAAGGGCAGGTACTAAAAATGGACCGTTTTCAAGGTTTTGTTGTTCCACCTGACCATTTTAAAATGCACTAAAATTGTGTGCAAGCCAAATACATTATATTTTCTTCAAAAATTGATTTTTTGAAGGGGCAAATAATATTTATTAATGTTGATTGTTTACTGAATTCTTGTGTAAAAGTGTTTGAAATGTTTGTAGACTGCTACATTATTTTTTTTTCCTGTAGAGAACTGAAGACATAGACACTAGTAAAGATGTGTAAAACAATCTCTGGACAAGCAGTGCCATTGAGATTTCTTAGGTTTTTTTCTGTTCTGTGATTTATGGGAGTTCATTTGCTGCTGTGCTTGTGTACAAGAAGACAGACAGACAAAGAAACAGGTCAGACCTGTTTGATGCTGCTAAGAATCTTTTTCACAGCCTTGGGGATACAGACAAAAATGCTTTAAGGAATAGAGGTATTATATTTGACAACTGGGGAAAACACATGTCCATTTTTATAAAATGTGAAGAGGATCCTTGTACCAGCCAAGAATTTCATTAGTAGTATGAACTTGAGCTTTACTTGAAGTCCTTCCAGAGCTGGTAATGTACCGTCTTATCTTGTTCAGGAAATAATTAGTTACATGGTAAAACTGAAACCACTGTTATTTATGACTTTGAAATAAATTTAAAAAAAAAAAACATTACAAAAATCAGACTTAAGTTTCTGTATTTCTTCTTAGGCTGTAGTTTTCAGTATTCCTGATTTAAAGGTTGAATTAATGATAACTTATTAGAATTATTTGGGTTTAGAAATGTCATGTTTAATTTTTTTCCTTACCCATCTATTTTTATTAAAGGTGAAAGCTAGAGTTGCCAAAGTGGCCTTAGGGAACTGGGCTCCTAACTCCGGTTTTGGTTTTCATCCACCTGTAGCCAGCTATCTGTAAACTTCTAGATGTGCAACTTTGGCAAAAAATTCTTTTTATATTCTTTCCTCCATATATTTTCAAGCAAAATAGTAGCTAGCAACAAACAGAAAATAATTCCAACTTTGTCTTCCATAGCATATTTCAGCGTATGCAATTAAGTCAGTTCTTCCCCCAAAAATAGGTTCATTCTAGTAGTTTTTCATTCATATTCCCCCCAAAAAAGAAAGGCTGGCATGCCTTCTATATGCCATATTTAGCCCTCTATTCAGAGTTACTTTCAGTTGTGCTGACGGGAATGAAATATTAAAAGCCTCTAAGGGACTATGTCATAATTTCAAAGATAGAAGTTATTCTAAAAAAAAAAATCAGATTTATGCATACTTGCCCTCTTCTGTGCATGATACTTTGTAGTTTAGCAGTGAAGTCTTCAACTGTGAAATTTCTCAGCTCACATCTGAATGAGAACTTCATTCTGCAGGTGCACCAGTCTTCTCACTTGAAGCTGCTGCTTCCTTATGCAACTACAAATTCTATATAGTTGCTAATCTCATAGCCCTAAAATAAAACCCCCACACTTGGGTTAGCTATTACGAGCATTAAACCAGTAACTAATAAATCCTTTGTTTGCTTAAAGAGTAGTTAAAGAGCATAGTCATAACTTACAGAATGATACGTGACACAGAATAAACACAGTTGAGGAGGCTTACGTATCTGCTGGATTAATTTGTTGTAAAATCTAGTAAATAGATTGAAAATTAAAATGGAAGAAAAGTAAGTTCTTCATAACAATTCTTGACATCCAAGATCCTGCTTGCCTTGTGGGAGTCTGTTCTCAAGGGAAGCAACTATCCGCATACAAAGAAAAACTCTGAAAGGACACACTGCATTAATAAAGTTTCTAGAAAAAGAACAGTATCAGAACTAATAGTAATAAACTAAAATAATAGTTTACAACTAAATTCATACTAATAAAATGTAATAATACATACTAGTAAACTAATAGTTTAAAAGACCTCTTCTGAGCTACCTGTATACTCTGTCCCTCTAATGATATGGAGAGACACTTGCTAGCACTGTTTATTTGTGCTGCAAAAAAAAGCATGATTATCATACTTCACAGGAATTTCACATGCTTTTAATGTCCCTGTTTCCAAAGCTGGAAATGTCTTGTGCTATGAGTACTTAGGTATCAGTGCTGAAAAAAGGAGGACAACATTCTTTTTCAGGTAATGCAGCACAGTTAATTGTCTTAAACTGGCAATTTAATCTCAGTTAGCTATATAACTACGAGATTAGCACACGTCCATCTCCCCTAATTTAATTCTTCTGGTGGGGTTTGTTTCATAGCTATATTTAAAACCGGTTTCTCATCCCTTAAAAATTTTATTTAAATGTATTTAATACACAATGATTTCTTTTATAAACCTTATCACATTTTGAAACCTCATGCAGAAGCCACATCAAAAATTATCTTCTCTAGTAACTTTGTGGGGCCTGAAATAGCTACTTAGAATGGGAGCTTGCTAGCAAAGAAAATATTTTTTTCTCCTATACTAATAAAGTTATCAGTATTTCTTGTTACTCACTTGAACTATTTAGATTTTAATACTGACTTTTGCTTTTATCTTCTTTTGGTTAATGTACTGAAGATGGAAGGCACCTTAGAAAAAGGCTGCTGTTCTAGCCCATGCTCAAGTCTTCCATGCTGAGATTCATTCAGCAGATGGGTGACTGAAGAGTAGTGACTGGAAGTATCCTAAGGCAGTACAAGAAGGTGAAGCTCTTTATGACTGCATGGTAGACTGTGGGTGATGAAGAAGGTATTAGTCGCATCCATACACAAACTTCCTCCCTCCAAGAATATTTATTACTGACTTCAGCTTCAGGCTGGTAGTGCACTTAAGCCCCCCCACCCCTAAGTGGGTGTGTTTTAGTTGAGGACGTGTGCCAAAGTTGTGCGAACTGTGTGTGAAAGAAGCATTTTCTGTAGCTAAAGTAAATACAACTTTTTTTTTATACCCTTGCTGTCTTTATATTTGAGGTGTAAGTACTGTGCCTCATTAAAGAGTAGTGGCATAATGATGTATGTAAAAAAAAGAAAAAACATCTGCACATTTACTGTCCAGCTCTTCAAACGGCTGAGCCCACGATCCGGTGCCCAAAGTAGATGCGGTGGTGGGATGTAGGCGTGTTGCTTGCGCTTGGACTTTGTAAATACAGGTTTAAAAGTGTTATTCAGCGTATTTAAGGACGCTGTCAGAGGAAATTAAAAATGGGTACTTGTCTTCCTTCTGGCACAGCCGTCATTCAATTTAAAGCAGTGGGATTAGTCTCCTTGGGCCGAGGCTGCCGGGGTTCCTCACCAGCAGCCG